TCCCTACAAAACAGGAAAAAAGGTATATTTCTGTTAACTACACTCAACGTACATGATTTTTTCATTTATATCTTCTATTTGTCCCCTTTCTAAACTTCATCACTTGTATTGTTATAATATAAAAGCTTCCACAAAACCACTGCCCTTATCATCCAGTTTTAAAAGATCTTTCAAACATTTTATATTTTTTTCCAGAGGTACGCTAAAAATTAGAACATTCCATATTAGAAATTACACATAACAGCTTTTATGGTTCATATTTTGATGTTGTTTTCTATTACATATTATGTTAAAAAATGTAATACCTTTCTTGATTTATTATATGAATAACCTGGGTAGTTTGGGTTTGTTGTTTTGGTTTTTTAAATGAAACCTGTGAGCTTGTAATCATCGTAGAGAGTAATGTATTTCATGTATATATTTTTGTAAGTTCTGGCCAGGATATCCAAGGAACAAGTGTGGTGGCAAATCTTCCAGTCCTAATGCGACAGAATCCTGCAGAAACACTTCGTCGGGTTTTACCAAAAATCAGAGTAAGTTCTGTGTAATGAAGTTTGAATGTATCTTTTTCTGCCAGTATTTTAACAAAGGCAAAAAAGCCCACTTTTATCCAACCTACTGGATTAAAAAAAAAAGGTGGGGTTTTTTTCATTTTCTGTTTAATGTACTGAATCAATTTTTTTTTCTTTGGTGTTTCTCCTTTGAGAGCAGAGTCCTTCCTGAAACGAAGGAGTAATAAGAAATGCTGGGGGTTTTTTACCCTTATTTGTCAGGATGTGGAGAAGTGGTAGTCTTTATCTCTCTAATAAAAAGTCTAATATAGGAATACAGTTTTTGATTCTAGTCTTAGGATTTTTTATATAGGGATGGAGAAGAAATTTAAAAGGATGCTCATCAATGTGATGAGGACCTAGGGCCTGGAAAATATTTGTACGGTGGGAGTTGGAGCTCAGTGTGTCTAGATCAGGTGATAATTACTTTGTAAAAGTATCTGCCTGCATAATACTAAAGGACATTCAACTGAAAACAATATATGAAGAAACAGGAATTAGGAACTGAAGACAGAAAAATTATAAATTAAGCAGGCAATTTTAATAATAAATCTGATCAATCTTTGAGCAAATAAGTAAGAAAATTTGTTTTTCATTTTGCAGTGTCATTTAAATCCACACTGAGTGCTGCCTTAGTTGATAAATTAAATGAAACTTAAGTTAATGGGCTCAAGGCAGAGGTAAAAGAGTGAAATATAATGAGATCAGTCTAAATCTAAGTGTTCTCTTCAGGTTTAACCTTTATAAATTAAAACTTTCTGGAATGTATAAAAGTTAAATTTTTTCTTTGGCTTTACTCTAATAAAGCAGGTTCTTCAGTGGTGCTCTGTTATCTAATATTTATTTAATCTATAATAGAAGAACAGTTCTGTTGCACCCATGTTCACTGCACTTTTAACTGCAAAACAGTGTTTCATATCATTAACCACTGGATCTATTTTTTTTTTTTCCTTATCCTTGTTTTTGTTGGAGGAATGGTCCTGACCGTTAAATGGAAACTGTTATAGTCTATAAAGGCATAACCCAACTCAACTGTGATTAGACTCTTGCAAATGTAGTCTCGTATTGCAGGGAAATAAGCTGACTTAAATTACTGCACTTGGTTTCACTTCTGTAGATTGGAAAAAAATCATTTGTGAATTCAAATTTGCACATGCAAAATGAGTTGTATAGTAATTTCAGGGTCCTATTTATCTGGGTAGGGAAATGAGTGAAATACTTGCAGAAAACCAAAAGCAAAAATAAATACTTTTTTTGTTAGAGCTGAGGATAAAACAGATACAGGAAGAAATAAATGCAAGAAATGTTCTAGATGGATACACTGCAAATTTTTATTTCACTTGTGAGAAATTGATAAACCTGGTTACTTTTATAAATAAATGTAGAAATGTATATGTGCAAATTGCTTATTATTCCTTAAAACCTGATTAAATTTAGTTGGAAACGTTTTATATTTTAACAAAAGTGTTTTAGGTTGAAGATGAGCAAAATCAAACATGCAATACAGCAATAAATATGCCAGATCTAAGTAATGATTAAATTGGATGTCAGTATTTTGGTTATGCTAATAAAACAAATACATTGCGTATCATTTAGATGTTAACGTAGGAATGAGATCATGAAATATTTTTTTAAATTTCTATGGTTATAATCAAATGACATCCTTGTATGGGTTCTTTTCCATAGAGATCCCCACTCTGGATTTCTGCATGCACCTCCTCATGAACCTTGGAAGCCATTGAAATGCAGATTTAGGGAAAGCTTAGACATATTTCTCAGCACTTCTTGTTGTGCACGAAATGGCTCATCTGATTGACGAACAAGATTTTTCCAAATGCTGTGATTGCAGAAAACTATGGATACTCTTGTTGAAGTGTATACATCACACCTTACTTGGTGCTGATTAGTTCCAAACTCATTTTCACAGTTATGTATTTTCCTAATATGTCAGTCTCCCCTTGAAAGCTTTTCTTGTTTCCTAGTTGATTTTATAGTTTAAGAGGTGGGGTGATTTTCACCCCGTCTTATTCCTAACATTGATTTTAAGGTCCATCCTCATTGTGTCTTTGAGCTTCCGTAATCTTATGTGTCTTTCTAGTCCTAAATGAAGATTTCTGTCATATCAACACAATTACTAAAATGACTGAGTTTGTTTCTGCTTGCAGCATTCTTTCAAGAGAATTCTGTTGCTGCAGGACATAAAGTGCATTAAACTAGAGGTGAATTTTCTGTTTTCAGTTAATGGAATAAGCCAGGCTTTCTAAATTTTATGAGTTTTGATGCCTGAGTTTAACTTGTAGACGTTAGGATAGTTCAAGAACGTGCTAATACCCTTAAATTCCATTAAATACGCTTGTCTGAATAAGATAGGAAAAGTTTTTTTTTTCCTCCTGAGTGAGAATCTGTGGAGGATCCATGTATAGAAAAATACATTACTTTCTAAATAAATAAGTAAGTATATTTAAGTCATTCAACTTGAGTTCAGTGAAATTGGAATGAGAAGGGGAGACCCATACATTTTCATATGTGGAACTGTACGGTTCTGAGTGCAAACTTCAATGCAGGCAGGTGTATAAGCAATCTAGAAATTTACATTTCAATGTCTCCCGAGGTCCATGAGGAGGCACATCCAGAGAATGTGTTCTCACACATGATTATCCAGAATTGTGTGGATCTGGGGAGGAGACTATTTGGAAACTTTATTTGATGGTAAGTAACCCTGTTTTCCTTGTGTACAAAGTGAATGCATACATAAAATTGAATTTAGCTCCATTATGTTCTGGTCTGCAGTGGTGTCTTAGCATCTACAGTGTGTAGATAGTTCTTTGGATTATTTTGGGGGATATTTTTTTTTGAACAAGTGTAAGCCAAAATCCCAGAACAGTATGCACAGGTATTCTAATGCCAGAAACATTCAAATTACAAAATTGGTAGTTGTCCTTGTTCTTGGCTGTGGCCATTGTAATAACAATGGAGAAACAAGGACAGAGGAAGGCAGTGGCAGTAACAAGAGGGCGGTTTCCATGGCTATTGAATGCAAATATTTAATCACACTGGGATTGGTAAGCTGCACAATGCGGTTTCTTTCTTTTTTTTCTTTTTTTTTTTTTTTTTTTTTCATTTGGAGGAGCAGGAGTACAGAGAATGCTTTTACAAATATACCTGGATGTAAACTGAGACAGTTGTTGAGAGATAAGTAATGGTTCTCTTTGAAATCAGGTAAATTAAAAATTATACATTTATGCACACGAACTGGTTAACAGTTGTGTGATGAAAACTTCTTGTTGTTTTACTTTGAAGCAAGCAAAGTCTACTAAATAATTTCTCAGATGTTGTCTGCAAACTGTATTTTTCTCAGCAAAATTCCTCTGCTATGTAATGCTTAGGTGTATAATGGATATTTTCTTAATCTGATCTAGGCTGATTTTTAAAAAAAATTAAAAAATCAGCTTGTTGCCGTTTAAGCCAACAGGCAGCTAAAACAACCACAGAGCTATTAGCTCACTCCCCCTCCCCCAGTGGGATGGGGGAGAGAATCGGGGGGGGGGGGAAAAGGTAAAACTCACAAATTGAGATAAAGGCAGTTTAATATCACAGAAAAGAAAGATGATAATAATGTACAAAACAAGTGATGCACAGCAGAGTGGCTTACCATCCACAGACCGCCGATGCCCAGCTAGTTCCTCAGCTGTGGTTCCAACCCCCGGGCCAGCTTCCCCCAAGTTATATGCTGAGCATGATGTCATATAGTATGGAATATCCCTTCGGTCAGTTTGGGTCAGCTGTCCTGGCTGTGTCCCCTCCCAGCTTCTTCTGCACCCCCAGCCTACTCACTGGCAGGGCAGTATGAGAAGCCAAAAAGTTCCCACTTGGTATAAACATTACCTAGCAACAACCAAAACATCAGTGTGTTATCGACATTATCCTCATCCTAAATCCAAAACGCAGCACTATACCCGCTACTAGGAAGAAAATTAACTCTATCCCAGCTGAAACCAGGACACAACTTATCACTGATTTTTGACCAGTGATTGGAGAAAACACTCTTCATCTCAAGCACTTTATATATGTGGGTTTGTATCTTTTTTTAAAGTGTTAAATAGGAAGTACTTACTGAATTAAATAGGAACTCTTACTGAGTTTGGAATCACTTGTAAAATGAGTGTAATGCTTTAGTAGTAGAATAATGCACTTTATTTTCTCATAAGATAGATACATTTAGAGAGGTAAACAAATGGAATGTCCACCTAGCTGCTAGATACATACATACTTACAATGAATGCCATGTCATAGATTGCATCCTGCAAGCTCTTTGCATGTGCATAAATCTGAAATTTAAAATTCCTTTTTGTTTCATTCAAAAAATTTAGCAATATTTCATTCACCTGTTATCTTTGTTTAATTTTTGAATTAATGCTTTTAAAGACAGCCTAATTAATTATATTCTTATATGTGAAAGCTAAGTAATAGTAAATGCTGAATTATCTAGATAAATACTCTACTACATCTTGTTATATTCGTAAGATTCTCTCTCTCTCTCTCTCTCCACACACATGTAGACATTTTCATTTGTGTTCCATGTCAGCTGGCAAGGGATGAAATTTAAATTGCCTTCTGCTATTTTAGTATCTTTCACTAGATGAATGAAATATTTCTTTTTAATTCATGTGCATAAACAGCAGAAGTGCAATTGTTGGCTGGTCTGGTTTTACCTCTCATTTTGTAAAGTAGAAAAATCCACACATATGCATTCATGAAACTGAAAGTCATAAAAATATTATAATTAATTTTCTTAAAAGGTTCATGCTATAAGAGACTTGAATATCTCCAAGTAATTGCTGTGAAGAGAAAGTAATATTACAGCCACTTTTGTGGTTTACTCAGGTTGTTACATATTCCCTCTTAAAAGTGAATGTAAAAATTTGAATGTTCTTTCATTACATTTCTGCCTCATGCTCTAAATTGATATAATTTGTAATTTTACAGGAGGTGCTGCATATTGCAGGAGTGGAAATGCAGTTAACAGCTGCTGTTTCATTTTTGACTGTTCTGCAAGAGGAGTCGGTGTCCATTCATACATACTCCCACTCCTTCCTACACATCATTCTCCAGAACCTGGAACACAGAGATGCAGGTCAGGGCTGTACAACTTTACTGATGGCTGATTACTTTTATGTTTTGTTTCCTTAGTGACCATACAATGCTGTGTAAAGCAGTGAGCATGATCACTGTGACTTTCTATCTAGGCTTGCATGAATGAAAAGATATTTGCGTGCTGACCACTTACATACTGATATTTAAATGAAATTCTGATTGAAGTAAACAAACCACTTTGAAGGATTAAATCCGGAAATTGTTACTGAGTCTGAGTTTCTACTGAAGTACCAGAATTTTGTGGCTGAGAAAATGGAAGGACGATGGTTAATGTTTCTTCTGTGATGATTAGTTTTTCTTAACTTCTTTGACGCTATTTTGAAGACATAAAGAAAAAAACTAGAAAGTTTCAGTGGGCATAAGAAAAGAATGTGCTTCTAAATGAGGGAAATCATCTTTTCGAAACAAACAGCATCACTATTATTTTTGTACAGGAATTGAAAAGGTAAAAGAAATAGGGACAGCATTTGCTTCTCACCTCTCCTACTTCTTAGTTTAAAGTCTTGAATGTTAATTTTGTGGCTTTTAGGTACATAGTTCCTTGAAGAGGCGCATGTAAAAAGCAAGAACTGATTTTGTAAAACTGATATGTGTTTTGTTATACTCATTATATGTACAACATAACATATAACCCATTTCTTTCTAACAGGTGTCAGCAATGCATGGCTAGAAACTCTTCTTGCTGTAATAGAAGCTTTACCAAAAGAGACTATCAGACATGAGGTAATAATATTCTCCCACTTATGCTAACAACAAATTAATAATATTTTGTAAGTTTGTATTTCCCTGCAAGTCTCATTCACTTCAGTAAGATTTGTGGCAGTTCTATGCCTGTGAAAATAGTAATGCTAGGAGAACATACTGTAAGAGAGGACTGTGCTAAATGGTGAGACAGGAAGGTTACATTAAAATTTTTAGTGTTCTTCAGCAAATAAAGACTATTTACTGTAACACTTCCACTGCACTTAGTATTCTCAGTAACATGTTTTTGTGTATCCTGGTTTGGCTTACAGGATAGTATCTCAGTCTGTGTCTTCACGAAGAAACTACATTTTGTTTGCTACTGGACTAAAGTTCTGATTTCTCCTGAATGGGACTGAATGCTAGAGATCCATTTCATTGTGTATTTCAATTGCTCTTGATGTACCAAAACCCTAATGCCCTGCAAACATTCTTACCTTTCACTGTGTAGCTCAAGAAAGAGGAAGGAAGTCTGTCACTAAGTCATAATGTCACTCCCCTTTACTCAATTTATTCAATTTTGTTTCAAGTATTCATATTTCATTAAGTTTAAAAGCTTTGTGACAGCTCTATTTTACTGTGTTTATAATTCGAAACGCTATGGAGATTTAAATATATGATTGTGTAGTATAAAAATACTCATTAAAATTAGTGGGTAATTGAAATCCAGCACTGTTTAAAAAAATAAACTTCGAAAGGGTGAAAAGTTAGGTTGGGGGGAAAAAAAAAGAGAAATTATTCTGGTCACCTCCAAAATCTAACAGTAATTTAAAAGATGCCATTCAAACAAGATGGAGTTTCTCCCCTGATTTGTCTCTAGGAGCGCATTTATAAGTTTCCACTAAAATGTCCTTTGGGAAGATCACAACTGATAAAGCAGTGTTGATTCAGCAGCTATACAGAAAGCTGAATCTGAAAAGAGGCCTTTCATGTTACTTGAAGCATCTGTGTATGAGAACTCGGAATATTCTCGTTGGTAACTTTTTTTGTAAGTAAAATCATAGGACAATCAGATTCCAAGGAAAATAAGGGAAGGTGTGTGTCTTAAACCAAAGCTCAACTTAACCTAGTATCCTGTTTCTGGCAATGGCCACTTCGTAGGAGAGACTGTGTCTAGGCCAGTAAGTGGAGTTAGTATTGCTAGGTGTGATGTGTTTGCTGTCTTAGTTCAAAGACCACAAAAGTAATACTCAGGTTGGTAGATAACTAATGATGTATTTCTTTATGCAGTGTTATAGTTAGAAGCATACCTTATGTACTAATTCTAGTCTGGGTGATGTATTTGTACTTAGAGTGGTAAGAGTCTCTCACCCGAAAATTTCGATTGGTAAGAGGAGAAAAATGCTTTTAGAAGACCGTTGGACTTTTCTGCCTTGTGTATTATCCTTTTGCAGAGCTCTGCAAAAGAGATTGAGTGAGGAGCTGTGGCAGGCTTCAGGAGATACCTCTCTGTATTGTTCTTCTAGGCCTGGCACCTGGATTTCTATGATTATTTCACAGGGCAATAAATAATATATATATCAATATGATGTTCTGCAGACCTTTCTTAGGTTGTTTCTGGCACCACAGAGGAGATCCAACAAATGACAGCAGAGCTCCAATAAAGATGCAGGTTTTCTGTGTCTG